CTGAGCTAGGAGTTTTTAAAACAGTGGAAACTTTCAACAAACCACTCAAACACATTATTTTATTCATAAGTAGTTACGGTCTTGTCAGATACCCTACAGGGTTAATATCTTCCCCTTCTCTGGGAGACAACTATCTAAAAAGGTTGGCTGCAATACATGAAGTATCAACTGCTTAGGAATACAATGTCAAAAGAAGAGAGGGGATGTAAATTTTCCAGTTTTGATTTAAAAAAAAAAAAGTATTATATTTATTTATTTAAATATTATTTCTTCTATAATATTTTGTAGATGGAGTAATTAAACCAGTGTTATATTTTTCCTCAAATGAATCTGTTTAATATGACTAAAAAAAATAAATCCAAAAAAAGAAATGCCAATTCTTGACATAGGGTCAAACACTTTGTAGATTATAAAGAAGTGAAAATTATGCTATGATGACTATAGATAAAACAGTCAATAAACCGGTCATCTATATTCCACATGTTCTAAAATGTCAACACATTTCAGATTTAAAAGATGCTAAATAGGATTTCTTACTGTGTCTTTATATCCATATTAGGTAGCATCCTTTGGGAGGGGAATACTACATAAGACAGAAAGCATGATGTCTGAATTGCACTATCTAAAGTGTAACTAGGAATAATTTCGACTAACTGTTAACACTCCAAAATGAGTGTACGATGTGCAAAAAGTAACACTCTTCACAAATCATTATTCACAATTCGCAATGTTTCAAAACTGGAATTTCACTCTCTCATGGTTTCTAGTATTTTTCCTGTTTTGTTGCAATAATTTTAACAAGTTGGATCACTGGAGGTGCCTACTGCACCAAGTATAGAACATTACCTTGGTGTACCTCTTGGCATCTGGCTAACATCTGTTATTTATTCAGGAAGTTCAAGTAAAATTTTATATGAAACCACTCTCCATTGTTCAAAACATTTAGTGTTGCTCCATTTCCTAAATATGGTAGATTCTGAATTCAGAATATGACGAAGTGGTTGCTCTGAGATACAAGCTATGAAAAAAACCTGTTGCTATCAAGAATTTCAGTGCAATTTATTAAACAATGCCCCAAATACTGGCCTGCATATTCCATATCATAGTGAAAATTACTGTTCTCACCATTCAGTCCCATTATTACAGCTGCAGTTATGTGTCTTAGAAGTTTTCCTTAGTATATGTGCAGCTGGAGTATATTCAGGAGATAAGCATGTACTGCTTAAGATGACCACAAATGCAAGAAGAAGAAACACATCTGCTATAAGATGAAGAAGGGGGTACTGCTGCTTCATTAGCAAGACAATACAAGTATTTTGTGTGAGTCACCTGGTGCTGTGTGCATATATGCTGCCTGTTGGTAAGGGGACACTCTTACAAGAAAGCCAGATACTGAGGGACTGCAGAATCCTTGAAGGGGAAACTAAAGCAAATTCCACAAATCAATGCAGAAACTCCACCCAAAACGGCAATAGTCTCCTCACACCACTGCAGCAATGAGTAAGTCCAACATCAAGTTAAAGCAGGATACCTGCCATGCATGACTGGCATTTGCTGATTTAAAATTTAGAAAATTTTGAAACTTAAAATAATACAATATGGAAACATATCATTATAGTATTCTGGGCAGAGAATAAAACCACAGCAGATGAAATCTTTAAAAATCATTAAGAAAACTCAAAGTGTTTTGTGATCTAAGTTTGCTATCAGAAGTATCAAGATCACGTCAGAAAGAAGAAAGTGAGTGACAGAATTTGTCCACCTCAGACAGGTACATCAGACCATACAATAGAAGCTCCAAGTCAGGATTGCAGATTATGAAAGGGAGATGAGCAGAATTTCCTGTATCCATGCAACCATCATTAAACCATTCACACAGACATTGCCACATCGTGGTTAACAGACCAGCGCAATAAGGAAATAGTTGCAATCGGGTTACATGAAGAGGACTGAATATCCCTGATCATTACAAACAACAGCTCATTTTTTTTCAGTCTGTTCTGCACTTAGAAAATGCACTAACTCAGAGGACAGATAAGCCCACCATGGACGTAGGGGGGCCGAACTCAGTGCCTCCTTCTTCACATCCCATACACAAGCAAATCCACACAGTCCTAGTTTAACTAAAAGTTTATCGTGATCTATCATGACAATGATCTACAAGATCTACAATGTGACCTTGCAAATATTCCTCAAAAACAGATAAGCACAGACCTACATATATATATCATCAACTCCATATTGAGTTAAAAGGTGCCCATCAAGTGTTACACAGCACAGTGATATGAACCATACACCTGCAGGCACAGAGGCTTCCATACACTGATGATGCTAGTGCTGAAGTTCACTATTTCTGCTGGTCTGCTACAGGAAAGGGAGAGCTTACGCAGAAGTGTAGGGATTGAAATGTGCTCTGTTTTACATAAGTTTCAAGCATTCTTGTTCCCTCAAGATCTGCAATTAACTGAATTTCTACTAACCATCATCAAAGTTTCAAATAAACTAACACTGCTCCAGTATATTATTTATTCATAAGTAAACAAAAATTCATTTTGAGCAGGTCACTTCAGTATTCTTTCACTGACACTGTTACAGCCCTGGACATGTGGGCAGCCTTGATTTCCAACTTCACTTTTCCAGCTGGGCCTCTGCTTTTGGTGTACCTACTGAAAAACAGCTTTTCTGTTTCTTTTTTCCTCCCTCTTTGAATGTATTTTTTCAACACTCTGAGCCCTCTTTTTCTTTGTTTCAGAAACATGCCAGCAGAAGGAAAGACCACCTTGATCAATGTGTCCCATCTTCTGCAAAAGACATTAAGTCTGGCAGGATCTTCAGAAAAGCTATTTAATTACAGGCCATATAATATTTCAGCCCACAAGCCCTTCAATACACAACAAACTTGAAAGTCAGTACTGAACTGCTACATCCATAGCTAAAATATGCTAGAGGAAAAAAGCGGGAGATGCTAGAAACAATCCTTGATGTCTTCAACCCCCTGCTATTGTAGGAACATAATTGGATTCAATTTTCAAATATTCCTAGTTAACAGACCATGTCCATGTTACAGGAAACACCCACCAGTCCTTTCCACTCTTGTATAGGGGAAAATTCCTTCTTGACCTCAAATCTGGGTATTGAGTTGAACAGCAAGAGCATGTCCATGACGTTTTTAATCAAGGGTTTTTTAAACCACTGAGAGCTAGGCCAAACTTTGAAGTTTAACTTTTTTTTTTTCTTTCTGTTCTCCACCAACACAACTGACTCCACCACAGCCAATTTCAAGCCATGGAAGTTTTCTAGAGTTTTTTCTAATTTCATGCCAAGCAAACAGCTTTTAAAGAACTGTCCACACGCCCATTTTATTTTTTTTTTTTTAAGTATTATACAAAGCACTGAGTATAAAGACACTCCAAGCCAAGTGGAAAAAGAATTCCACCAACTGTTTAACAAAGCTGCCCCTTAACACCAGTGCCCAATGAACTGGTGCTTTATAAGCTTATCAAGTGATAATAAAAACCCCACCAACCAATGGCAGCTAACATGAAATATGTGTAATGCTTTCCAGTTATCATGTTAACTATATTAGGAGACAAATACTACCACTATAATGGTGGCCACATTATGTCATAAATGACATAGCACTTTGATGCTTGTAAAAAGTACGATTTGGAAAACTGAATTAAAAAGTTAAGGTGCAATACACAGCTCTTAGAAACTGGCCAATTCCTAGACATGGCGTGAACAAGCTATGTCCAAGGAATTTGTTACAACTTCTATATTCTGTAAAGAAGTTTAAACATACAAGTTTGTGGGGTTTTTTTTAGTACTGAAAGTTTGCTTTTTCGAAGTAAATTGTTTTCCAATTGCTCATGACTATACATCAACATCATGCTATAAGCCGTCAGTTTTCATGGTATAAGGATGATAATACATTTTAAATTTTTTGATTAAACCACTTGAGTAATGACAAAAAGATCAGACCTTTTCAAACTTAAAAATACAATGAATCAACTTCTGTCATCTACAGAAATGGCACAAACGTCATTTAATGTGATCATATCAAACACCATCCATCATTCATCCGTAAATCCACTTCATCATATCTAATCCAAACCCCTCTAAATATTAACAGTCAGCCTTAGAAAAAAACCAGCCTATCACATGACAAATACAATTATCTACAGCTTGGGTGGAAATTAAGCACAGATTTTTTGTTTTTGATCAAAATTTAACCTTATCTTTCAATTTATGAAATTACAAAATAGTATGTTCTTGCAGATTCAATTAACAATTTTATTACAGAATTCAATCTTAAGAAGGGGAGAGGTGTAAGTGACTCACTTACCTGTTTTTTTAATTTCTGGTTGGTAAATCTATTCTTCCAAGAGCAGCCCTTTCAAAAAAACCCATGATTTCAGTTCCAACAATAAAAAAAAAAAAAAGAGAAAAAAGCCTTTTCTGACATCTTTCCAAAGACAATAACATCGTTTTGACAACAATTTTGTATTCTGAGCTGAATAACAAAAAATCTATACATCAAAAGTGTAACAAATTTCACATCTTGAAGGAAAGTGGTGTTTATATCCTTCTTGGAACTAGAAAACAAATCTAGATAAATAATATTTTTAAGGGAAGAAAGATTATTAACACCAAGACATCACTGTTTTAGAAAGTCTACTCACAAAATGGATATTAAAATAATTTTGTTAACAAGAAGTGATAAATACATGCTATAAAACATCAGAAACGGGCAAATTTTCAGCAATAAAACTCTTCTTCACTTAACTAAAAAACGCTAGTCTTCATCTAAATATTATTCTATTGGTTTAAGTCTCCTAAAGGCACCACCACCATGAAAAAAAACCAAAAACCAAACCAAGCCAAACACTTTCCTTATGTTCATCTGAAAAAAACATAAGATAACAGAAAACATGAAGGTTGTATCTGTAGAACTGGAAAGGGATATATATGCCTTGGAAACCATTTGAGTGAAAGGATACAAGTTTTGATATAATGGGATTAATGATTTCAATGCACGGCTTGCATTTATAGCTGTTGCACGAACCATAATAGGAAGAATTTTTCCATTCACAATAGCACCATCAAACAGTGGACCAAAAAATGGAACCTGAATAAAAAAATTAAGAAATTGAAGAGAAAGCACGATCTTAGCTATAACAATTAGCAATCAACATTAACAATAGAGCACTCAAATATATTTTTTTTTTCTCCTCGTTGCTAGATAATCAGAGCAGTTATTGTACTCCACGACAGACCTTTTCTCTAGTGGAAATATACAGCCATGTAACTGCTTGATATCCTTGGTAACGGATAACACAGCATTCAGGAAAATTAAGCAACCATTTGAATACTAAACCCCACCAAAGCTTATTTCCAACATTTGCTGCCCAAATCGTAAGAACAGTCATACATATGATGTTTATGAGGTTGAAAGGCTAGATGACAATATTGTAGGTGGTACTAAGCAAAAGGAATAACTACTCAAATTTTATAATTTTAATTAATATTTATCGTGGCTATATATATAGCATTTCCAACTCAGTGTGCAACAGCCATATAATTGCTGGTGGATTGACCCTCACCTTCCATTTTATTTTCTTCTTCTACCTGTTCTTCTTCCTTTCTATGATACCTATGCAAATCTATCACCACATATTTATCCTGTAAAGGGGTGAAAGCTTGGCCTCTTTGGACCCTAAGTGTAAAGCCTTACTTGTTAGATCAATAGAAAACCTTGATGTTTAGTATAGGTAGCATCCAGAAGGTTTACAGAACAGATGGATCTTATGCTTTGTCATTATGTTTTTCTCAAATCAATCATCATTTTGCAAGTTAAAAAAAAAGACGACATTAAAACTCTATTAAGTATCTTCATTTCCTGTACATGTGAATGAAGTTCTGAAGCTACTAGCATAAATAAAGCATGTGAAGAAGAGCTTAATAATTAAAAAGTTAACTAATCCAGTAGTAACAAGACTATGTACTGGGTATCATTTCATGTCAATCACTAGATAAAGGCAGTCATCATATAGAAGGAATCCTATTTCTGTCATACCTCATTTATTTATATTAATGCTTCTAGAATGAATGCTAATGTTTAAGTACAGAAATTCATGCAAGTGAAATTAAACACAGAAATTATGCAATACAAACACTCATGACTACTTTTACTCACTCAGTGTTCACTACCTTAAACCACTCTCTTAAGAACAGGGCCAGCACAGACATTTCAGGAACAGTCATTAGAAAGAGTGTGTGTTCAAATATCTAAGAGCTGAATGGTCTTGCTTTGCTAAATTAATCTCCAAATTCTTGTATGAGGTCAAGAAGAAAGGGAAAACTAGCTTTGAGAAGAAGGAAGTGGAATATGACATGGATGGAAAAAGCTGGAGCAGGCTATTATTCAACTAACACATTCATATATCAAATTTGATAAAGTTTGCCAAATGATTATGCAGAATATTCTACCTTTGTTTTCCATTTATGATGTCAGCAGATATGATTGACAGGATCAGGCCTTTGCAATTTCAACTTGCTGATTTTACTATGCCTTTTACTCACTGAGCTCTTCCTCCTACCACCACTGGCAATTGTCTATGTTAAAGACATGCTGCCTTGTTGGATCAATCTGTTATACCAAACCCTCAGATTCTAAACAAAACTCAGTTAATACTAAACACAGGAAGGAAACACAAAGAAAAAAAACACCCTTACCTCAGGCTTTTTCATGATCTGGATACTGAACATATGGTTTTTCATGGGATAGATAACTATAAGAACATCACCAAATTCTGTTGGAATTATTCCTCTTCTATAATCTCGGGTATGCTCTGACCAGACAATGTGTACTTCATCATTTCCTAAATGTCTCAGCTGGAAAAGCAGGGATTAAAAACCCATCAGTTTAAAAATATTTTATGGCCATAGAGCTATACTAAATGCTCATATTTTAAAATGACAAAACCACTAAAAAGAAATAGAGAAAAATTAATAAAATAACCAAATTACACTATAGTTCTCTTGCAATTTCAATCACAGTATTAGTTTGCAGTATTGGTTTGTGCTATAGGTTTGTATTACATTGTTGCCAATGTCTATTTAAATTAACAGATATGCCAATATCTGTTTTCTACGGAAAGCTAAAATTTTCTTATTATCACAAGAATGCAGGATGATTCATTCTGACTTACTAAAATGCTTTCAAGATTGCCATCACTGACAAGCAGTGAGTTACCAAATTCTACATGAACTTCTAAAGTGTATGAATGAACTTCTGTTTAAAAGCTACATATCTGAGGAGTCTTTAATTCATCATTTTAGCCAAATTCCAAACTGGCTACTACAAACAAAAAAGCTTTTAAATGAGACTAGCTACTGCATTTTCAATAGGTCCCTAAATTAACTAAACTAAATGTTTGTTTCCCATGAAACCTACATACCTTTGTAAAAATAACACCCCGCCCCCTCTAAAACCCAAATGGCTCTTGATTTTGCTCAGAATGGCCATATGGGTTGCTCAAAATCCATGCTGTATTCTCATTTGTAATCACATAACCAGGTTAAGGAATATCTCGAACACTTCAGAATTAACTGCATTGAAGCTGCAAAATACTCCTGCTAAACACTACTATCTGATAAACAAACATTAACCTCATGGAAAGAGGCTTTATGTGTACTGAACAAAACCATTCAGATTAGGAAATGTGAGTCCCTTTCTAGTACGGGCTATTTCTGATAATTCAAGCTAGAATCTCATTTCTTCCTCCTTGTGCATCACCAGTTATACCTGACAATCATCTTCACCCACAGTTTTGAGTTTGCTTGCACAGCTTTCGATAGGTAGAATTTGTCAAACAATTGCCTTGATGTTACTTAAAGGACAGCACTGTGAACTGTGGTTCGGGGGTAAACATGAAGATACTAATCTGAAAACTTACTAAAGGTTACTGTATATAAAAAGGTAACAATTTTCTGCACTCATTTTCAGAATTTAACTGCTATTTAAATAAAAGCAAAACATCCACAGTCAGAGAAAATTTCACTGCAAGTATTCACTTGTTTATATTACAAAATTTTCTGGAATGCTACCTCTGTCTTATCTGAAGGCTTATACCAGTTGTCAGCATCAGACTTTAAAAAAAAAAAAAAAATGAAAAAAGGGGGTAAAAAAAGCAGCTGCTTCTGCTCTTCTCTGCTAGCTTAAAATTGTTTCAGAGTGCAAAAAAGAGTTGCATTTCTGTAAGATAAGGATTTTCAGCAGTGTTGGACTGAGCAAAGGACAGATGGTGTCAATATATACCCTACATCTTGTCTGATGCTCAACAAGTCATTTGTTTTGCCTGGACCAGATCATACATACATCTAATCCACAATAACTGCAGCTCCTTAGAATTGAGTTGGTTTTGCCTTCTTTGTAGATGGCTGAATTATTCTGAGGAAGTTGGTTAGGGATGCTCTTGTGCCAACTGTAAACCCATCCAAAGAAAAGAGTTTGTTGTAACATTCACTACACTGAACTTTATTTGATTGGATTAGAAGAAAACGGGGCAGCAAACTGAATGACTGATATGCAACATGCAAACACCAGCTGCAGAAACCTTGGGTGACACTTCAGAATGGCAAACATCATAAAAGACAACTAACTATGGAATTTTCCTGAGGGCCTGAACCTCTCATACCTTCCTTGGTGAAGTGACAGTCAAACTATCTGCTGAAGTATGACAATGACGGGAAGGTATGAGGGACTGGTGGGCCTGCATCTAGAAGCAAGTGAAAAGCTCAGGGAGGATGAAGCTGCCTAACCAAAGCGAAAGCATGAGGCAAATCAGTTTAGATATGAAATCTTGTGGAATGTGAAAAAAATGTGACCCTAGATCAAGGGATGGCCATCTGGTGCTCTGTCTAAACTGAGCTGAACTCTTTGAACTGCCTGCAAAAAAAGCAGAATCAGGACTGATAAACCCATCACTGCACCATTCCTAATTCAACAATATTGAACTACTACTAGAATTAGCCCTCCTTCACTTACCATCCTTGGACTCAAAGACAACATATACACCCACAGCTAGAAAAAAGGGATGGTGACAGTGTACATGTCAAAAAAATGGCTTTAAAATCTAAAACATATAGAGATTTTATATAGGTCAGCTTCTTGAGGGCCTCTGAATTTCATTTATCAACAGGTGTCCCTGTGTACCTTTTACTGATACCTGCAGCTAATCAGACAGGACATCAATTCTTGCAATTTCTCAGACAGGAACTGAGATGGAGCATCACTACTGATGTATGCTTTCATATCAAAGTGACACAGCTTTTGGTGTAACAAGAGTATTGTGTAGCTATTTCACCAGGAGGACTACTGACAAGGAATGTATATTTTTGGATGCCAAGTGTATTGAAGCCAAGAGTGACTCTTCTCTGCAATTTCAAATTTTGCTTTATTACCCCACAGAGGTGTGAAGATAGATTCCAGGCTAAAAGCACCAACTTCTTCAGGGGAAAATGAAAACGAATGAGATTATTGCAAGGAGTTACAAGTCCTCTCAGGTGTATTTCACCTCATGATTACTACCAACAATGATTTGGCCAAGATTCAGTTTAAGGAAAGTGTAGAATGGCACCTCTGTGACATATAATGGATAGAGAGCCAAAATGAGATGATGCAAATAAGTGGATGGTGGTATAAACTGTGAATGGTGGTTTATAACTAGATGTAAAGTACTCATGACCAGAACTATGATCAATAACCTTGTTTCCATTATAGGAGGTAGAAGACTGACAAATAATAGAGAAATAAACAAGATTGAGTGTTGCCGATTTCCTCTGTGTTTGGAGAATAATGAAGCTCTAGACAAGTCATTCTCTTCATTTTTCAAGAGTAGATCAGAAGAACCTCTTACACTAGCATGGCTAGTTATTGCTTCTTTCTGATGTTCTCACCTTGGTCAGCAAGCAAAGCTTATGAGAAAGCATGAATGGTGGTAACCTGACTCAACAACAACGCTTGATTCATGGTAGAGATCCAATACCTTGAAATTGTCTTGAAAAGCTTTTCAAGCACTGCTAGGTTTTGCATAAACTTTTTAGGAAGATTAATTTCAGATTTTCTTTTAATTTTTCTGTTCACTATTTAAAGAAATTGAAATCAAGCATTACTCTACCATAAAGTTCTCCTGAAAGCACAACAAATACTTGGAGAATCCATCATTCACTGTAATCATTAAACCACAGGAGAGTGAGAGCCTGAGCTCTTTCAGTCTTAATCTAGATTTTTTTATGTGTTTGTACTGAATTGGAAGCATCCCTGAATTCAGTGCCCTAGACATAAGTGGGACAAAAATACTGTGTTACAACCACCTCTGCTCAGAGAAACTTAAAGGACAGACAGCAACAAGGAGAAGGTGTGGTCCCAATGTTATCTAACAGCATCAGACTTGGTGTACACAGAATGTACAGGTGCCAAGACTGAAATCTGTGTCAGTAGTTACTCAAAACTCACCACTACTTCTGTAAACCACTACATCTTCACACTCATTTGGCTTCCTAAATTTACAATTTTGTGCATAAATCATAGTAAGCAAAACAAAGTGCAAATCCTTATTAGAGACGTAACGCACAGCAATGATACAATATCTGTAAAATAATGTCATACTTCAAGTAATTGGCAAGACACTACAGCTGAAACACCTGGAACTACAGGTTACACACCAATAACAACTCTAAATAATATATAAATGCAAATCAAACTACTCAAGAGAATTTATTACCTAAGTGTAAGGCAAGACACAAAATAGAGATGGACAAATTAAAAGAAATTGTGAAAAGGTGCTGAAGATTAGAAAAATGTCTTTTATAGCAGCATTCTTCAAGAATGAGTGTCAAGGTCAGAGAAAGGAAAGTTCAGCAATCAGAACAACAGTTTAGGATACAGTCCATAAATTTTAACTGTGTGTATGGAAAGGCTATGTTGCAAGAAATGTCACACATGAAAAAGAACAGTTTTGAGTACAGATCGAAGGGAATAATCCAGAAAATGGACCAAATTAAAGATGATTTCAGGCTATGGGCACAAGTGACAGGCACAATGGTCATGTTATCCATGGTGATCCCAAAAGGTGGCAATGAGAAAGAGATTAAGAGCTCTGTCTTAGCCATTTTGAACCTGAGCTGTCGGGAAGACAGCCCTGAGGAGCTGTCAGAGACAAACAGATTTTTTTAGGCTTCCTTTGAAACTCTACTCCATTAAAACAAATATATAAAAATGACTGACTGTTAGGTTACCTGAAATTTCAAATTTAACTCAAAATACTTTAAAATATTCTTACTCTATAGTCATCACCATGTGTCAGCTTTCCTAATACATTTATGTTAACTGAATACAAAAGAAATGTGAAATAAATATAACCAGGAGGGATGATCAAATCTAATTTTGATACATTAGTGTCATATGCTGTACATGTTACAATAGCAGCCAGACTTAATACTTAAGCTGCAGGCTATACTGAAATTTCCAAATGGCAGATTGTTCTAAGTGATACCAAGTATAATTGAAGTAATAAACGATAGTAAAAGCAAAGCACACTGTCAGGAAGAATTTAAGTATTTACTTTTTAAAATTAAATGAGTTAGGTTTGGAAAGGCAAGACAAGTGAAATAATGCAGGGCTCAATTTACAGAAAATTCCTTTTATTTATCTGTTGCATTAACCCTTGAACTCTTGCCAAAATTATTGTAATTTCTAATACCCACCTACATAAGGGAGGGAGAAAAAAGGGCTATTACATTTTCTTATGATACAACAGCTACCCCAAACTTTTTTCTTCTTCAAAAATAAAAGTGTTAATTATGAAAAAGAACAGAAGGAGAAGAAATGTCCAAAGAAGTGACTTAATGCAGCTACTTCTGCCCATTTAATGTAAGAAGCACTGCTGTCTACTGTATATGTACCCTCTAGTTGAATTTTTCACAAAACTTTGTTTCAACAACTATGGTATGTTTGGTGTGTTCTTTTTAAAGCAACATGTGTATTGAATTGTAACTCAAAAAAAAAAAAAAGTACTAATACTTTACATCAATATACCTTCAAGTTCTCCATACATGTTAATACCACAATAAAAAAAAACAAACTATAAATACTGAGAGCTATAAATCTTGTATGTGGCTAGGATGATGTCCCACATTACCTAGAATCAAGTAATACATGCAAAGCCCAAGATGAATTTGTATTCCAATCATTAACAACATTACTACTTTTTATTTACATATTTTACATACAATATTCTCACCTACTGTGCCTTTGCTCCTTTATCAGGCAAAGGAAGTAGGAGCTAGGCAGGTGATAAGCTGTAGAGGCACATACATGAGCCTTCTAACTGTGAGCTAAGAGTCTTCGCAGTTTCATTAAATCATGATATTTTCTTTGCAAGTTTATTCTTGTAAGGGTATTGTAAATACTTTTTACTCTAACCTTTAATTCTAAGAACAACAAAATGGATTGCATTATCAGCATTAAATGTTTAGTTTACTATTTGCCAACTAAATACCTATTTTATATATGCATTTCAATGTTAAGTTCCTTTACACATTCAGAAGATTTCCATCTTTTCTTCCAGAATTCACGTCTTTTCTTGCTCTTGTTCATGTCTTCAGAAACAAATGCTTCAGATGTATCCAAGACACTTAAAAGTTATATTTACTACTCTGTAAGACGGATGGAAAATAAGTTTAAAATTGGCTTAGCCTCTGAAATAGCAGAATCTTGATTTTGCAGTGGTTTGACCGGCAGGAAGAAGTTTTGTTTTAATTTAATTTAATTTCCATTTATAAGATGAACCTATCATGCACCTCTAGGCACATTTACAATATAAAAACCAGCAGCAGCTCTGTGCCAACTACTGCAAGTTTGCTTGTTTTTCTTGTATTGAATGAAATGGACAAAGAAGGCACATGAAAGATGTGTAGAGAAGCTCAAAACTCAGGTTTCTCTGGAAGCTGTGAAAGTACATGCACTCAGAACAGTTACAGTGCCAGCACACTGTCATATGTTTTTGAGGTCCTCTGCAGTGTGTGAGAACTGGACAGCATCTCACAGAACATGTTCCTTTTGCTGTTGTGTTCAGTCCAAGCAGCATGAGTAGTTGCAGAACTAGTGGAAGAACTAAGCCTGTTCTCCTACTCATGTCTCCTGATACAACTTGCTGGTTTCTTCCAAGATGCAAACTTCAGTTGATGCTTTTCTCAAGTTTGGGATGACTCTCATAGCACAACTCTCTCTGGTGCTCATTCACAGAAAAAACTGCATTCTTTCTATGCAGTCTTTACCCACTGAAAGGAGCACTGAGTCTCCCTCACTCTGTATCTCCTTTATTTAACCTAACCTTCATTAAACATATATGAAATTAACACCTTTGAAAGATGTCTCTATTAAATTCAATTGAAACGGGCCATAAGGCATTAGGGAAGGGAAAAGAGACATAAAGGCAGGCTCACAAGCCTCCATTTCATGGGTAAACGGGGTTTAAAAGTAGCTTGTTTAAACACCCCATCCGAGCTACAAATATAATCCAGATGTTTTAATACACTCTACATATCTATACAGACCTCATATATTCCAAATTCCTGATGAGTAAGATTGTGGATAAAAGAAGAGAGAAATAGGCCTGGGGCAAGCTGGAGTTGTTAAGAAGTCTAGCTGACACCATTTTCACAAGCTAACTCACAGGAGAGCCAGACAGACACTGGCCCTTGCCTGGCAGGAACCACTGCGTGTAAATTCAGGCTGCTCCTAGAAAACAAATGTGAGATCTTGCCTGTGCGTTCTGCTGAAATCCACAGCATTTGCAAATTATGTATTATTAATTCATTTTCGCTGTGACCCCTCTTCCTCCTTTGCCAACACTTTTAATGCTGTATTTCAAACAGATTAGAAGCAAATGTTATAGGGATAATCACAAGCTGTGTTTTATAAAACCAAGTTTCTGTTTAAAAAATACAGAAGTCAGTTAACTTAGAAGTATATATATACCCACACTGTTCCATACTAGAATGACAGCAACAATTTTATTTTAAAATTAGCTATTTTTGCTATTAAACTACTGTTATAAATTATTTAACAGCCTAAGTATTACCTTGGCTCTACTTCAGGAAATAAAGAACAGAAAGGATCCAGCACCATAGGCATACAAGGAAAAACGTTTTTTAATTGAAAAAAAAAAAAAAATCAAGCAAACCAGCCTAAGTTGTGACAGTGAGAAGTTAGAACTCATAGTTAGTCTATAATAATAGCAATAACTTTTTTTCTTCAAGTTGAAGACAAAGAATAAAAAAGTCATTAATAATTGAAGCTTGCCAGAGGCATGGCTATTTCTCTCTTTACTAAATGCCTACCATCTAATTTAATTACAAGTATTAAACTCCACGCTGAGGTCAACCAGCTTCAGTTCCTCCAATATTACACTTCAACCAGTGCTCATTAACGTGTCTACTGAATGAATTAACACATCTGAAGATGTATGTACACAGGACGGGGGACAGTCTAATGATAGCAAATTGTTCATTTATAATAAGACACATGTTCGAAACTGTAACTTACAATCACTAATGTGGAATTTATTAAATTCTAAAGAAAAAATACCAATACAGAAACCCATTTTTTCTTAATGTGATTATGAGAGATCATATCACCGTTTAGCATTTGTGTCTGCTCCAGGAAAACACACCTTATACACAATAAGCAATGTAGAACTCTTAATATTTTTAACTTTTTTTTTAACAGAAAATTCTATAAATAGACAGCATGTGTCTCTTAAGTGAATAAAAAGTAATCTTAGAAATCACTACATATATATATTAACTGGCATTTGAAGTCTCAAAGTACTAAACCATTATTCAGATTTAATGCCTTTTCTTCTATACAAACCATTAACCTCCCTTCATTTTTCACCACTGTAAGTGGGATCCTGACAACATTTTGAATGATAGCAAAAATCACCATTATGGCAAAATCACAAATTGGTGGAATATAATTTATATGGCTTAATCTACTTCAGTAAAATACCAACTATTAGCAGGTAAGTGTGTTACAATATTTTATGTTTTTTTTTTTCGAAAAAGTTACTGGATTTTCTTTCACTCTAATTTCTCTGTCTTTATTATGAAAAGAAACACTGTTATTCAGAAACACCTACCTTTTTAGTTAAAGAGTCATCTGAATCAGAAGGCATTCTTGTTGACACATGGAACATTACTTCTACTGTCGAGGTAGCAAAATATGGAGTGGTCAACCCAGTGCTTTTGTTTTTTTGCAGTCCTCCCATAAAGCCACAATGGTTTGTGAGATTTACCTAGAAGTAAAGCCCAGGAAGCATTAGGAGGGAAAAGTATTTTCAGGTGATAAATACATTCTTTAAACTTTGAAATGCACTTTCAAATGAATTTTTAAAAGTGAAGTCCCTCTTCACCAGAGCAGTTTTGCTTTTCTAAAAATGCTCAGACTTGCTGACTACACTGGAAATGAACAGCAGCACAGTGGCATTCTATATTCCATGGTCACCACAGATGCTGCTCGGAAGATGACGTTAGAGAAAAGAAAAGGTTGTGTGAATGGGTATTTACTGCATTACTCTCTGATCACTTCACTGTAGTCACTTATATGTGCTTTCTGAATTTTTAAAAATTCTATGATACTACATCAGCCTTAACATGGGCTCTGAAGAAACCCTGTGTGAGAGTCAGACAATTTTAAATTGTCCTGTTGCCTTTCATACATTTTCTTGAGAAATATTTATTCTGTGAATGTGAAAAAAAAATAATCACAGGAAACTAACTAAAGAAGGATATTTGAAGACACTAATGTGATGTTTTTTTCTCCTGAAGAATCAGGCATATGGAAAATGAACATCTATGTTTGTGACAGCAGACTTTGAACAGTTTTCCTCTGTTTCTATGGAACAGTCAGAGACATTATCCACACTACTAACTAGTATATGCCTAAGGAGTAGGAAAAAGAACAAGTAAAAGGGACACTCATGTGGACACTCCTGATGAGCACAAGTCACGGGGGGAACAGAAGATCTGCAGTTTCTTATGCAGCCAGTCAGGAGCAGCAGTGATTCCTGTTCAGCATCAAGCTGAACTTTACAATGGAAGTTAATCCTTTGTGGTCAGAAAGAAAGGATTCAAAAAAAGAAATCCTTGAACATTATCTAAAAAGTGACTAAAGAGTTGCAAGTCCATATAGATGGAGTACATCACAGTACTTCTGACTGCTGGAAGAGACATGAAGCAGTGTGAATAGATCCATGCCTCTAGTGGAAGGCAGGGAGAGGGAAGCACGAGAGAAGCTGTGTATTTTTATTTTTTTGATTCTCAAATTTAAGCAAATCTCATATTTCAGCGGACTTAACACTTCACAAGCCTACAGGGCAATCACAATGCTTCCTACTCAGTCCACGAAAGACAAGTACAGGACTGTATGCTAAAGCATCATCTCTGCCCACACAAACTTTCTTAAAGTGAAAGAGATTAAAATTAAACAGCTAGCACTGCTAATGAAATTAAAACAATACTTCTCCTTTAAAGCCTACTTGTAAACTAATGTATTTCAGTACTTGTGAGTAATGTTAAAGAGACAAAGACTTATAATATCTAAAGGGATCTGTAATTTTCTCTTTAAATAAACTTAGAATAAAAACATTTTAATAAATACCTCCCAGCCAAGACCAGCTACAAAATCCTCATAGGCTTGACTTCCCCCAGTATTCGTAAGAATGGAGTGTTTATCTTCTTGTCCCTCAGCAACATAAAACACTGCAATCTTGTGTGTCTCTCGGCTGTAACAGAGAATGGTCACTACATCACAATGTCTTTACTAATATGAAACCAAAATATGCAAACAGTACACACAGAGCATGGCTTTTAAAATATAAAAAAAGGTATTGGAAGTAAAGTACAAATATATGGCTTCTTTGGAATACCTGCTGTATTTCCACATTCCTATTCTGTCTTTTCCAGCTGAACAATTTGCCAAAACTTAAAATGTGAAGACTTTGATATATCCAGGTTTTAAAACTATTCCATGTTATGCATATAAGTATTCATAATTTTAAGTTATTTGCAAGTTTGTTCTATCTCATGATAATCTAACCTGTAGACCAAAACAAGTTAAAAACAATGTAACTTGAATAAACCCAATAATTACAATACAGTGCACAGTATGTGAATAATTTGCAAAACTTTTAAAAATTAGTTCAACTCTCACATTACACAATTAGAGCCATTCAAGTGCAAGCATGGTTAAAACAAATAAGCAGTCAGCCATTTAAAGAATTTACCATTGTCTTGAGTCCAAATTTCTGAGTTCTCGAAGTAACTTCTCATTTTTCTTCAGGAGATGAAAGCTCCTTCTAAACAGAGAAATTTTTAACGTTTTTATCACCTGTTTACTGATGGATACAAAACAGTACAAGAAGGGTACACGAACATTTCCCAGTCCAAGCAAGAACAGTCAACAAATGCTTTTACCTTTTCAATAGTCCTTCTGACACAAAATATTAAGATATCTTTTAAAAATACATAAACAATTTTTTTTTTTCAATAGAGGAAATCTATCTCCATTATAGCCCTGAGTACAACCTTTACTTCTTTTAACTTTCTTAGTCAACCTTTTTGATCCAACAGATATCAGTCTCTTCCCTTTGACACATATATAAGCTGCACACTTTACTAGGCCATAATAGACCCGCTTAGTGTCAAAAGATGTTCCTATAATCTACTGTCCTAGGGAGTTAGTGCATTAAACACAGAGCTTTTGCTGCCCTGAATCACAGAAGAGAGCAGAACATAGCTTACTAGTCACCCAGCCAGCTGTAACCATTTAATGAAAAACCAAAACAATATGCTAGAGCAAGAAAGACACATTTAATTTCTTTTAAACTGCCCTTAAGATATTTCCCACAAAACACAGTGAAAAGCGTTTGAGAGAAGTACTGTTTGAAACCAGACTGCCTTGAGGAAGTACAACCCAAATAAGAAGGGTTATAATGTCAGTGCCAAAATTTTGACTGATTCCGTTGTTATCTTGGTGACACAGATTACTTTTATTTTACAGAACATCCATTTCCCTTCATAGTGAGAAAATATTTCTATGCCTCTAATACAGAATTTGACAGCTATGGCAAAAGAATATTTCAGAAAGATCCCTCAGTTCTAGGATGTTAATATTTGCACATACTCACATGTATATGCAGACATACACCTAACTATACCCCCACAAAATCAATAACATGAGCTGGGACGTTACTTTTGTAACTACACAGATCTTGTCTCCTGTTGTTCTAAACAATACCCAAACATTGCCAATGTTGAAATAAATAGTAGGGGACACTTCTTACTTGCTAGCTAACACAGATGCAACGCTTTGAGGCTGCACGCAAGCACACTATTAGCAGGCAAAGTAGCAGGACACTGCCCAGCAACACAATAGCTTAGAATATGACACTTTTGGAATCTAATTCTGGCACAGAAAGGTAATGATTTTTGCAGGAATATGCATGGGAAGCAAAGAAAGCGGGAAAAGAAAAAAGCCTTCTTCACCCATGGTAGTACCCTTTAGTACAGCTGGTGAAAGGATTATTAGAAAAGGCATCACTCCTTCAATTCACCTGCCAACACTGCTCTAAGGAAAGAATATAAATAGCAATAAAGGCAACAGGTTCCTCCTCTCTGTCTCTCTAAATGACAGGTTGAAATGCAGAAAACTGTCATTTTGCCCTTAGTTGCACATCCCCTCTCCTCTTTTGTTGGCTGGCCTGGAGTATTTTTTGCTTAACCCGCTCTAGGATCAACTATTGTTAAACAGCAAGAATAGCACAACTATATAAGAACAACAATAAAAGAAAGTTCTCAAATTGTGATTTTTTTTCTTTTTACCTTTTATCCCAAGAATTCATTCCCAGTATACTCAGAAGCAATCTGCAGTAGTAAAATGCTGATTGGGGCTTCTGTGAGGTTGGCTCATCCTGCTCCACAGCCCTCATGTTTAAATCATTGAAATGCTTTTCAACAAACTCCCTCTCTTCTGTGTGCTGTTTCAGAATGGCATTGATGACGTCATTCTCCTGCTTCTCTGAGATGCAGGCTGGCTGAGGGGCAGGAATGTTGAGTGAGACACCAGTTCTCTGTAAGCATTCAGGGCTTGTAACACCTAAATATTGCAAGAGCTCATCAAGGGCATCTTCTTCATCCCTAATTGTATCCCATGTTGGTACAGTATCTCTAAATTTCCTTTTTACTTGGAGCGTAATTCCATCACGTGCAGATACATCCTCTACATGCTCAAAAGATGAAAGAGCATCTTCTGGCTTATCTTGTTGAGACAAGGTAGCCGCAAAAGAAGTTTGTTGTGAAGATCCACATAAAGATGAGGGCCCGTACAAAATGGCCGAATCCCACGAGTATTTCCCTGATAGATCACGTACTATAATTCTAACATTTGAGTTAGCAGATGCAAGTCCGGCAGACAGTCCTCCCCCTGGCATATCATCTTCTGCTTGAATTTGTATGCAAGACACCAGGGAGGTATTGTTTAACACAAAGAATTGAAGGTTTGGGTTCTCAAAAAGTTGGGGAGAAAGTTCGGGACTTTCACTGTATGGGTTGTCGTTGTTCTCACACACTTGGCTAGTTAGCATCGCAGGACCTCCGCTCATAGGGTAGTGGCCTAAGTGGTTGACCAGATGTGTTATCACAGTACGAGCAGCAACAGAAATTAAGCCCTGTTGCATGTGAGTTTTCACTGCAAGAGAAAGAACACAGGTTTTAAAATAAGAGTTCAGAAAACGACACTGAGAACTATGTACTTCTTTTGTTCTCTTCTTCATGAGTTTTAAACAGATGATAAGCACTGCAAGGACAGGATACATCCAGAAAATATGTATCTTGTTGAACACTGGTCTTACATATAAATAGCATGAAAAATCATAAGATAGTTAAAGAAGCATCTTCATTATTTTACAGCCTACTATATCTCCTTTACAACACCTTTGTAATCAGCATAGTTCTTCTAAAATTTCTTAATCTAAAGAAAATAAATCTGAAATTGCTGATGAAGTAGAGTTCATAATTGTGTTGTAAGAAGTCCATTTCCAACCACAATGGATTTTTATATTTATACACATAATTACAATGTGAAAAACAAAGGAACATAGATGCACAAAACCTCTAATCCATCTTAATTTCCCTGGGGAGCATATAGCTGTAGGTTAGGTTGAAAATAACACTGGGTGGTTTTAAAGTATCAAATCAAGAACTGTGCTATCTCTGCTGAACACGATCTAACAAGAGCAAAATTCTGAAAAAGCAAGTCTCGTGCCCCAAGTGCCTTTTTAGAAGTTTCAGACTGCAAAAACCTGGAGAGAGAAAGAGAATTTAATTGTGCCTGTCTTATGTGAAATTCATCTCGTGAGATGCACTGGCATTCCAATACAGTTTTGCCACCTCCGCCTTTGTCGTACACCTTCCACGTGCATGCTGTGTCATCTAAATTCACAAAAGGCATCTTCCAATGTTTACATCACCCCCTGCTAACCTAGCACTTTATTGTTACTGGATTCTTCTATCAAATCCACTCTATATTACCCACAAAGTACAGAGCTGGCCAAAGTGACTACACAAAGGTACTACACTGTATAAGATCACAAGCAGAAAACAGGATCAAATGGCAAAGCACATTTTCTGCAGCCTCCCTCTCACTCCAGGACCCGCATGCCCTGAATTTGGGCTTTACAAGGGGAAGATAAATCAAGACTGTATTCCTTATGACTACATCATATAATCTTCCATTATATTTGAGAAGTCACAGCAGGCTGGTGAAGTTCCCACTGACTGGAAAGGGGAAATGTAAACCCCATTTTCAAAAAGGAAGACCCAGGGAACTACAGGCCAGCCAGTCTCACCTCTGATCCTGGCAAGATCATGGAGCAGATCCTCCTGAAGGCTCCACACTAAGGCACACGGAAAATGACAAGGTGATTGGTGGCAACCCACATGGCTTCACCAAGGGCAAATCTGGGCTGAATATGGTTTGAGAGTAGTTCTGAGGAGAGAGACTTTGGGGGGCTGGCTGATGAAAAGCTTAACATGAGCCAACGATGAGTGAATGTGTGGAGAACTTAGCCACAGAGTGGCTAGCAACAAAGGGACATGATAAAGTGCAGCTGGTTGAAGTTTAGTAAAACAAACTCCAAGTCAAGATAACCTGGGGTGCAACTATTGTAGGATAATGGGATGAGTAAAAGGAACTGGAACACTAAGATAAAGAACTGCTAACCGCAAGGCTAAACACAAAAGATAAACATAAGAGGAGTTGACATATAATCTGTAACCAATGGTGAGCTTCACTTTTGCAATATGTATGAGCTAATTAAGAACAATATAAAAGATGCCTTCTAATTTTCAATAAATGAGGCTTTCCGATCATTATAGAATGGTGTCTGTCTCCCGCTTATTCTCCGTCATGAATGCAGCCTGAATACCAACCACATCCTGGGCTGCATCAAAAGAAGTGTGGCCAGGAGGTCGAGGGAGGTGATTCTCCCCCTCTATTCTGCTCTCGTGAGACCTCACCTGGGAGTACTGCATCCAGCTCTGAAGCCCCCAACATAAAAAGGACATGGACCTGTTGGAGCGGGTCCAGAGGAGGGCCATGAAGTTGATCAGTGCACTGGAATACCCCTCCTACAAGGACAGACTGAGAGAACTGGGGTTGTTCAGCCTGGAGAAGAGAAGGTTCCGGAGAGACCTTACAGCAGCCATCCAGTACTTAGAGAGGGCCTACAGGAAAGCTGTAGAGGGACTTTTTACAGGGGCTTGTAGTGACAGGACAAGGGGTAATGGGTTCAGAGTGGAAAAAGGTAGATTTGGATTAGATATAAAGAAGAAGTTCTTCACTGTGAGGGTGGTGAGACACTGGAACAGGTTGCCCAGGGCAGTTGTGGATGCTCCGTCACTGGAGGTATTCAAGACCAGGTTGGTTGAGGTTTTGAGTCACCTGGTGTAGTGGAAGATGTCCCTGCCCATGACAGCAGTGTTGGAACCAGATGATCTTTAAGGTCCTTTTCAACCTAAACCATTCTGTGATGTCATGATTTTAAACTATTTTAAACACTAAAAACTGCTTCAAACACTTCCCACCTTCTTTCTCATCAAAAATACACCAAACTAGAATGTTCTGAACCACGTTACCTTTTCATTCAGTATTTACTGAGAAAATGTAACCACTAGGACATATAAGTGTGGTATAATTAACTCATCTTCCTTTATATTGTGTATTTATACACAATAAAAACTAATGTTTAATGAACAAATTTCTGCTTGCAGTTTAAGGTGACTTCATTGGTTTAATTGGAAAAATAAAGCCAAATTTGTAATGCATACTGACTGTCATGACACATCTTTACTTTCTGAAGCACTGGATGCATACTGCATCTGGAAAATAAATGATTAGTTAATTTTTTTTCCCCCACAAGTTTGAGTAAAGCACGTTTGGGATTCTGGCACTTGTCTCCCTTTAGGGAGCACTAGATCTAAACTGCAAAAGGGGAACATTTCATCCTCTTAGTAGTTGCCAAAATAAACTTGATTTTTACACTACTCCAAAACCCAAGATAAACTCAAATATTTTAATGAATTAAGGTCTTGAAAACTAATACAAAAAAACCCTATATATTGTATTTTTATTACTGACAACCTTCTTGAGGTTTAACATTTACAACTAGAAAAACATTCAGTGAAGCTGAATTAAATGTCCACGTATGGATAGCACACAAGGAAATTGTTATAGTGCCATCTGCTGAAATATGAGAAGAAACTGTAAGCAAGCTTTTATAGAAGACAAAGAGAAAAAAAATCAGATATTTGAAGAATAATTTATCAATGCAGTACTAACCAGCACCTAGACAATGCAGAGGCTGGCTCATCTTTGTCAGGGTATTTATGCCAAATGTTTAGCACTTGTCACTGCACAGGTAAGTAAGGTAATACTCTTCTCAGGTTCCTAGGAGCAAAGACATGTGAGCTTCCCAGCTACCTGCAGTCTCACACTGTGTAGGTTAAATGCCTGTGGTTAAGTTCTGGTGAGAAATGTGAAGAAATGAGAGGGATCTGTTAGCATCTAAATTATTTCTGGTTTGTGACAAACCCTGAAGGTCCTAAACCTGACCATGGTTCTATTGTGACTTTGTGTATGAACATACTAACTTAGGAACCTAGGGGACATATGGAAAAAAAGGTGATACTGCGATACAGTGAAACATCAAATTTAAATCTGGAAGGTCCATTCTCAGTCCTGCCACAGTCCTTCTCTGAAAATTTTGCTCTTGAATTAAAATAAAATATAAAAGAATTGGTATATAAATCTGCCATTGCCTTTTTTAATAAAATGAGAACAATACTTCTCACTGTCTTCTCTCAGAATACAGTATCGTTGATCTAAAAATGACACAGAAAACCTATATTAGAAGTATTAAGGGAAGCATATTAGAGAAGCAAATGGTAAGATGTAACATATTATGTTGAAATAAAAGAAAGTGATCTTGAAACTTTTTTGCCACAAAGCAAATCAGATTTTGGTAATGGTTTCCATTAGCAAAAAAACCCCAATCCCCAAACCCAGTAATGCTTCTTGAAGAAATAGAAGAATTTTAAATTAAATTTGCAAACTAAAGGATACATATTAATTATTTGTTCCTAGAAGAACATCTCAGTCAGGAATGACTGGACATTAGAACTTTTAAAATGAGTGTGTAAACCTTGCTCTTTGTTTCTGGAGCTCAGATCAAACCATGCACTAACACAAGCCATCACAGATTTGCCACAAATCCTACAAACTAACATCATCACACATTAAAGCTGTCTAGCTGGCTGCCTTCCTGAGTGAACACATCTCTGCCCTCTTTACAGTGGTGCAGTCTTTTGCTTGAGCAATGCACTTTTTATGTGTACAAGATCATTTGGTAATTTACTAGAAGCATGTTGCTATAGTGGTTGCTTTTCTCAGTCCCCAAAATTACTTCCTTTGTGGAAAGGCTGAAGTCCCATCACCACTAATTTGCATCAGTGGCACGAACGGAGGATTCCTGAATTTCCTCAAGATGTGTTGTTAACTCACCAACTTTGGCTGAACAGCTTCTAAACAACAGCAGCTACATACTAGAAGGAAAAAGTAATGACCGAGGGTGGAATTTAACTCTCCTCACACTTTAGCTATCTAAAGAATGATGCACCTGCACAGGCTGATTCATTTCAGTTAGAGGCCCAAATTGTGGAAATGGGATGAATCCCTCTCTGGAAACTCTTCCTCCTCCATTACATTTAGAGGGAGCCTAAGAAAGTTAATTTTAGCTTAGCGATCTGTATTTTACATTATATTAAAGGAAGTTTCACTCATTTCTAATTTTAAACTTCAGGTATAAAAAGAGGCAGTTACAGAGAACCCATCTCTAGCCTATCCCTCAAAAAATACACAAACTGTGCCAATCTGGATGCACCATGTATAAGTGATTTTAAAAAACTGTACTTTTTGTCTCCCTCCAGTAAAAAGACAAAGAGCAAAGCCTTAAAAGAAAAAATAATTTATATTTCTATTTTTTAAATAAAAACTAGGACTACACATCAGAGGTGGGAAAATGTTTCTTTAGAAATTGAAATATAATAGGAAAAATGATGTTCTATGCAAGAGTTTAAAATATGTTTGGAGAAATACGACAAACGGGGGAAAAACCATGAAGTCAATAACTG